TATAACTTTACATGATGGAAGAATAATAAAATTAAAAGATAATCATTTAGGAACAATAGAAGGAAAATTAGCATATCAAAAAATTATATTTACATGTTATCCAAAATATTGTGTATCATTAAAAGATATAAATTTTAATGAAGTTTTAGGATTACATTTCAAGCTTTATAGAAATGATATTATCCAACCAAGTGATCAAATTATGACTATAAAATATAGAGCTTTATACACATTTACCAATTCTAATTATGGAAATATTTATTCCAATAAACCATATATTGAAGTTCATAAAGAATGTAAAGATATTAGTAAAATAATAGAACCAAATAAATAAATAAGTTTAATTCCAGAAGAATATGAATTTAATAGAGCAAAAAATAAACTCGAAATAACAGAATTAAATGAAGGAGAATGTTTTAATAACATAATATTTAAGGATGGAAAATTAATTAAAAGATCAAAAAGTTTTAAAATACCTAATAAAAACCAGTTAGAAGAAATCAACAAAATAAAAGATGTAAAACTGTATAGGAATGCTGGGAACATGAAAATAGAAGGAGAATATTATAATGGTAGAGAAAATATAAATGGACCAAATATATTAATACATACAGGAGCTAGTGAATGTCATATAGTTTCGATTAGAAACAGAGGACTAATAACTCATAAAATTGAACCATATATGTATGTAAATTTTGATGGACAAGTACATATAACAGATTTAGAAGTTAAGGTACCAATAAAAATAGGAGGAATAGATTTTTTAGTACCATGTTACATAGATAAAAGTATGGATATAAATCCTCATATACTTTTAGGAATGAGTTTTCTAAATGGATTAGAAGATTATAGTATAAAAAGAAAAAGATTATATATTGTTCATAATGGACAAACTACATTATGTAAAAAGAATCAGATGAATAATCAGATAAATTTTCCATTAGTTGTGTATATACAAATTACTATTGTAGAAACAAATATAATAACTTGTGCTTTAATAGATACAGGAAGTGATATAACAATATTTAAAAGTTTTTAAATAAAATCATGGAATAATAATCCTAATATAAAAATAACCGGTCTTACAAGAGAAAGTACTCAAATAATTAATAGTGCTTATAAAGTTAATATAATTCTTGGAAGTAAACAAGTAACAATAAATAAAATTTATAAATATGATAAATTAGAATGTGATATATTATTAAGAAATGATTTCATACGACAATTTCAATATTATAAACAAAATAATTATATGATAATGTTACAAACACCTTGTGGACACTTATTAAAATTTTTTAGAGAATTTAAACCTTATAGAGTTCAGCCAGCCCAGCGTGGCGATAAATGAGAGAAAAAGCCAATTCTTAATAATGAAATGAAAAATAAAAGAATATTATATAAAAATGTTCTAAAAACAGGAATAGAAATGAATATAGAAAAAATCATTGAACAATTAGAAAAGGTTTATAGAGAAAATCCATTATTATTTTGGAAACCACATCATCCAAAAGTCAAAATAGAATTAATAGAAAAATGTTATAATAAGAGTAAGACCAATAATGTATACAATAGAAGATATACAAGAATTTAAAAATCAGATAAAAGAATTGTTAGAACAAAAACTTATTAGACCCAGTAATGGACCTCATAGTAGTCTAGCCTTTATGGTTATGAAACACACTGAACAAGTTAGAGGAAAAGGTAGAATGGTTATAAATTATAAAGAATTAAACAAATATACTAAATTTGATTGTTACTTTCTACCAAATAAAGAAGTACTAATAAATCTTGTAAGAAAAAAATAATATTATTCTAAATTTGATTGTAAATCAAGATTTTGGCAAGTAAAAATAGAAAAAGATAGTATACAATATACTGCATTTAGCACACCTCAAGGAAAATATGAATGGTTAGTTATGCCATTTGGTTTGAAAAATGCACCACAAATATATCAAAAAAAGATGGATAATATATTTAAAAAGTTTAACGAATTCCTAATAGTTTATATTGATGATATATTAATATGTTCTAATAGTAAAGAAAAGTATATAAATCATTTAATCTAGTTTATTAATGAATGTAAAAAAGAAAAAAATTGTACTATCTAAAAAAAAATCTATAATAGAAAAACAAGAGATAGACTTTCTTGAATTATCAATAGATAAAAGAGGGATAAAATTACAGACTCATATATCCAAAAAGATAGAAAGTTTTTCAGATAAATTAGAATCCAAGGAACAAATTCAAAATTTTTTAAGATATTTAAATTATGTAAAAGAATTTATTGAAAATCTTTCTAAGAAAATACATAAAATCCAAGTTTTACTTAGAAAAACAAATACTAAGGGATGGAATGAAGAACATACAGAAATAGTTAAATCATTAAAAGAAGAATGCAAAAATTTACCAAAATTAAGATTACCAGATGAAAAAGATAATTTGATTGTTAATACTGATGCCTCAGATAAATATTGGACAGCAATATTAAAAATAGATCTTAATGTAATTTGTAGATACTCAACTGGAACATTTAACTAAGCAGAAATAAATTATACTACTCATGAAAAAGAATTACTAGCAATTATTAGAAGAATAAAAAAGTTCTCATTGTTTTTATTATCCAAGAAATTTATTATTGAAACTGATAATTCTCAAGTTGCAGGACTAGTAAGGAATAAGTTACCCCCATAACCACAATACAGAAGGCTTCATAGATGGCAAGCTTATTTAGCATTTTATAATTTTGATATAGTCCATATTAAAAGAGTTAATAATTTTCTTGCAGATTTTCTCAGCAGAAGCATAAAATTTGCTGATGGATAAAGTCAATGTCATGGAGGTATACCAATCTATTATACATATACAAGAGAGGACAAATTTTCTTAAAGAAGAATCTGAAGATATAAGCTTTGGAGCAACCCAGATTTCAGAGATATTCAACTCAAATATGAAAATATTGTTGAATATCACTACTGAGCATCGTAAATATGCCATAGAAATCAAAAATCAAATTGATACTATTTCAGCACAACTAAAAAATATACTGTTTGAAACAGATATACCAAAGAGCTCAGAAATGAGTTTTCCAAATCAATACCAAATAGGGACAGCTGGAAGCAGCAGTGGACCTAGACGTGACAACATACCAATTGATAATAAAGGAGATTCCATTTCTGTATTATCAACCAAGAAAATTATGATACATGGAGATAAAAGAGATATCAAAACAATCAGCATCATAGACCAAGAAGATAAAATCCCTTTAAATCCAAACGAAGAAAAATATGCCGAAATAGTCAAAATTGCTTATGCAATAAAAATAAGTGATTCATATTTCATTTCTCCGGAAAATAATGTTAATCCCAGAATAACAGCCATGGAAGGAGGTGACCCTTCATTTGTAAAAATCATGACAGACTGTGGATTCATGGATTTGATTTATCCAGGAAAAGATTTTATTGTAATTTCAAAGTTTGATGACATATTCATTAAGGAAGTATCTAGATTTGCCAAGAGAAGGAATATATTTTTAAAATTATATTTAATCAATCCAGAATATGATGGAATTGTTTACTATCCAGTTGAACACATAATCTCAATTGGATATGTTGCGGCCAATTTCTGAATTGATGTTACAGAGAATAATAGAAAAGTCCCAACAGTGACAAAATCATGGATCAGACATAGAAGAGCACTTGAAATTAAAGCCATCTACAATATTACCAAAAATTTATTTGATAAAAAATTCTTATGCCTGTGCCAATATGAAAATTGGATGTTGGTATCCAATGGAGGATATGCAAAATCAGAAATTTTAAAAGACTATATTACAAGATTTGATATACATCAATTTCTAGAATGTCCTACCACTATAAAAGAATCCTGCCAGCTAAAGAAATGCCCCAACTGCATGTGAAAAAATAAAAGAAGAATACAAAACACCTTTTGACAAAGGTGTATGAAGGACAATAATACTACATGTGAAGACATTGAAGATAAAGAGCAATAATAGAAAAAGATGCTCTTTAGATAAAAAAGTTGAACCAGCATGTGAAGATGTAGGCCCAAGGAAGAAAATAGAAAGGCAAGTGTGTCTTGCTGATATATTGAATGATGTAATAGAGTCTCAAAAACTTGTATAAATAGAGACACTACCATAGAAGAATATCATCTCGTCCTATCTTGAATTCTCGAGTTGTAAGCAATAGCCCATTCACAGTTTGAAAAACCAATTTTTCTGGAAATCCCTTCATACCAAATAGAAGTCTTGTATCAATCCAGATAGAAATAAAATTCCAATATTTTGATATCAACATATTTTTCTAAATCTTTTTCCCATAGATTCTTGAAGGATCTAATAGAAAGTTTTCTTCTTATTTTAGCAAAAAATAGTTTTTCTTTAACAAAAATCTAGGATTTTATTCTTTAGAAGTTGATATAGTAAGAGCAAGTAACTGAAATAGTAACAATTCTGTGAAGGCAGAAGGCCGTTGAAGGAAGCAGTTTACAAATTCAGAGCTCGAAGGTCACTCGGTTCTAAGAATACAAATCTAGATCAAACTTAAGGTAAAACTATTAAATTTTTGCTAAAATTAGAATGAATCTTTTTAAGATGATGATTATTTTGATAAATGTCAGGATATACAGTTGAAGGATTAGATAATTTATTAGAAAGAATATTAGAAGAAATAAAGAATATTATACCTCAATTAAAAAATACAAATTTACCATTTGAAGAATATGATATTTTATTAAAAAAATATGATATATATATTGCAGATTATTCTTATTTATTAGATCATAGAATGATTTTTAATTTAAATATCTAAAATAGAGTAAATAAAAGATAAAATATTTAAAAAATTAGGACCTATGTTACAATATAAAAAAAATCATTTCGGTAATACCGATATTTCATGAAAAGGAATACTCACGTGTCAAATAGAAAAGTCTCCTTATCAATGCTCAGCCACATCCACAGATCCCAGACTATGGTAATAATTCCTTCTTGTAATCGTTATTAATGTCAATTTCCATATCTGCCTCCTATTTGATCTCTGTATATTTATCAAGGGAGACTCTCCGCTCCGAATGTATAAACCCTTTTGATCAATTTTTGATGGTTTTGTTTGAATTTCCGTCGCTCATTAACAGAAAAAAGGTACCATAGATTGATACTTCGCGTTGATTTCGGAAAACAGCCTCGCAATGAGTGAAATTGAGGAGCTGGAGCACGAATTCCATCTCCACCCATTTACAAAGAGATGTGAAGAAGAGTGTGACAGTTCTCATGTGGGCTTTGCACAATTCCGGTGGAAGGAAAATTTCCATATTCATCAACCAGCTCAGAAGATTCCCATGGACGCGAGTCAGTACTATATTTCTTGGCTCTATTTAGTTTTCGAGTAGATGTTTATTCGTATTTGCCAGGAGATGATGGTTTGGATTGATTGAATGTTGTTTATTAAGATTTGGCTTCCATTGGATGTAGGATTTGCCCGTTATCAAACTGTGATTTATATTTAGTTTTATTATTTGGTGTTTTTGTCTATGTTAGATTGGATTTCTTCGTAGAATTTATTTTTAAAATTATGAAATTATATGAAGAGAAACTCGCCTCATTGCTTGCCTATACTAAAGGAGTCTTTCACTGATTTAGCAGGGCGTGAGAGACGACCTGATGAACTCACATGTTGGCCAAGCCCTTTCTGTGTCATTCCCGCTGAACCCAAAACAGAACCAAATGAATCATGGCTAGCAGAGTGAGATAGACAACCTGATGATGTCATGGGTTGGCTAAGCCCTTCCCGTGACATTCCTGCTGAGCTCAAAGCATCACCAATCGAAGATCTTTTTAATTGGAACTTTGTTCTTTTCTTTAGGTGTTTTTAGGTAAAGCAATTTTTTGGTGATAGCACTGTACTTGATGTGGGTGGTTAAGGTTTTATCATTTATTGGCCGTTAAGACATTAAATAGTTTAGATTCGGATTTTTATCAAGTTTTTGTTTTGCACATGGTTCATTAGTTAAAAGTTTGATCTTTCTAATTGACACTTTAGGCTTTTATTTGGGTTATTGTTTTGCATATATTACTGTGACTTTCTCGATGATAGCATTAAGCGTGGCCTTGGATTACTCATTATGGAGCTAAAAGTGGAAAGGAGGTTCAACCTTATGAAAAGAAGACATGAAAGGAACTCGAGAAACAAGATATACTAAGGCAAAAAGGTTTGACTTTCCATTTTTAAATTTGAACCTTGACTTTAATTGAATTTCGTTAGTCCGAGTTACATGTGAATGATGCTTCCATTTTGCAGGATGTTGGCAACCTTATGACTGCTGCTCTCATTACTGTGCATGAAAACACTAGTCTTGAGGATGCTGTGAGGTATTAACTTCTTTCCTTTGATTAAATTTTACTTAACATAAATTTGATCTAAGTTTTCTGCTTGGTGGTGTAATTGGGAATTTTTCTTTGCCTTGATTCTGCAACTCTACCAAAATCCAATCTTGATATGGAAAACCGGCAATCTTGGTTGATTGATCCTAACGATTCAGTGCTCAAGAGTAATCTCCACAGGTGCAGGACTCATGGTTGTCATCAATGAATTCCATCATTAATTGGTATCGAAGCCACCCCAGTTTGGCAAAACGGCAATTGTAAGACAAGTTGTTGTCCTCTTGATGATATACTTGATTCTTGGTGTGGTTATATATTCTTTTAATAGCGATAATTTTAAGGGCTCTGGGATCACAATGTGGTTGATAGTTTGTATTTTTGCATTGTCAGTACAATTGGATATAGCGATATGTACTGCCACCATGTTGTTTTCCATCATGTTTGTGCTTGTAGGATAAGACCCTTTTTTTTTTTTTTTTTTTTTGTCTCAAATGTGAAAGGATATTGTTAATTCATGATTCCCTTTAATCATTTTTAATTTTGCAGGAATATGGTGTCGGATTAGTGGTATTTTCCATTAAATTAGTAGCAATTAGATTAGCTAAGTGATCAAACCTAAGTTTTATTGCTTAACCTAATAGATAGTAAGCTCAGTTTAGCGTTTTCTTTTGTGCATGAGCCCGTGTTTATACTTTTTAGTTCAGTGGAGTAGAGTACATTATAAGTTTCTGAAATCTAAATTAAATTGCTTAGAGATATATAACTAGAAATTGAACTTTTCCCCAATTCTGTTACCCTTTAATCTTAAACATGAAATATGGGGTGTATTGTAGAAAATTATTGCCAACATATGAGAAATTATGAATTGAGATCGTAGGTGGATTCCGGATGGGCAGCTATGCCCGACGGTCCCAAACTGATCAAACTCCAGTCATTGGATTGAAGATGTTTTGCTGCAGATCTCATTCCATAGATATATAACTAGAAATTGAACTTTTCCCCAATTCTGTTACCCTTTAATCTTAAACATGAAATATGGGGTGTATTGTAGAAAATTATTGCCAACATATGAGAAATTATGAATTGAGATCGTAGGTGGATTCCGGATGGGCAGCTATGCCCGACGGTCCCAAACTGATCAAACTCCAGTCATTGGATTGAAGATGTTTTGCTGCAGATCTCATTCCATGCACTTGGGCTGATAGTGTTTTTAAAGGTTCTGATATTGATACAGGTGCAAATTGCATATATTCGCTCCTTGGTGCATCTCTTCTAGGTTGGGCCTTTTTTGGGTTGGTTAGGTAGTTATCCATGCTGTATGGTCTCTAGAGTCATTCAACAAGAAAGTTCTCTTATACGTTGTACAGCATAATATAATTTTAATACTGTTGTGATTATTTGCAGATGTTATTGATGTAGCCATAGAGTGGGCAAATAGAAATGTCAAGAGTAACCCATGTATCTCTGAGTTGATTGAACTTAGAAGAGTTGATACTGAGACAAAGATGTTCAAATGTGCAAGAACTGCAAATAGGGCAGAAAGATGATATTAATAGTTATGTGGATTCAGGCAATAAAAAGATTGTTGACATGGGGCCTGCACCATCATTTTCACTCAGAAGGCATTCAGCCAAAAAGAGTTATCATAGGCCACCAGTACTCGTCGGCGTCGTTAAGGATCGGGGAAAATTTTACTTTTGTATGTGCAACCCCCCCCCTCCCCGTCCTTTCTTTCGGACAATGGAGGAAGCAGGATTGAATCCGAAGACTTCTTGTGTTGGTGCTCTGGATGAGATGGTTTGTCCTGGTGGTAAAGAGGCCTTTATTACTCGCATAATTGAAGACAGTGCTCAACTGAAAC